GGAGGAGTTTGCATTTTGCTGGAGACAAGATTGGATGCCATTGAAGCAGATACAGAAGCTTTCAAGAAAACTTGAGAAGAAATGGGAAAAGAAGATCAGATGCAGAGCACCTGCGCTCTGATACCATCTAAAAGATAACCAACTCAAAAGACTGTTTATTCAATCCATTTAAATAGATACAAGAGGAGTGTTCTTGGATACATGGTCTATTCTTGATAACAGTCTTGATAACTAATGCCAGGTAGTTATTAGTTGTAATACTATGAAACAAAGTTGGCTCCAAAAGGGTTTCAACTTTCAAGCAGATTGTACAAAGTCCAATCGTGCCTTGCACTTCACAACTTTTTATGTAAATTGATCTTTTCTTTCTTGGTGACAGAGAGCTTGGGCTCTATTTCATTTATTGAGGAAAAAGATGATACAATGTGTTTTATTTTCAAGGGTAATTTTGATATTTTCAAAAGTCTTAAATCGTACATGAAGTCAAGTGATATACATAACTGATGGCCCATTAACGACAGGTACTAGATTGTTGCATTTCGAAAGTTCGAGTACTAGATTGTCGCATTTTAAAGTTTGAGGACCAAAATCGTCACTCAAGCCAAAGTACAGAGTACTGATAGGGAATTTTCCCTTAATAGTATGAGGATGCATAATATACTGCAGTTTTTTTTTTTTTTTTTGTATTTTGAGAGCATTATATTTAATAAAGTTATTTTCAAAAATAAAAAAAATAAATCTTTTTTTTCATAAAACCACAACTTAATACAATTTTTTTTTTCAAAATAAAGAATCAAAAGTATTAATTAATATATTGAATAAACCACGAGTTTATAATAGTCATTCAAAAAAACCAAGAGGCAAGAATTGCTAGCGGTGCCATACGAAGTTGAAGGACAAATATTATAATCTTCCACGTGGAAAATTAGTTTGAGGCTCAAATGATGGTATACCTTTGTTATTATTGAACCCAAAATCATAATTATTTATTAGTTTAATATTAAAATATTAAATTTTCTAATGATCACCATTTATTATATTTATTAAAAATGCTAAGAATTTGGATTGGTCAGTAGTGTAGGGTACACCCTTGGTCGGTAATACCTGATTTCCTGGCTCATATATTATTGTACCAGACCTTGTTCTTCTTCGGTATTTCTAAAAAAAAAAAAGAAACCAATGGCAAAATATATGATTGGCAGTTGTTCATAGCTGTTCACCAAAACCTTAACTCTCAAGTTCACACTTTTTTTTTTTTTTTTCATACTCTCTTCTTCTCTTTCTTGGTCCTTAAGGCGTTATAATATACAATATAATTTTCTTGCAAGGTACAAGGCTACTTATATAAGAAAATCCTAAACCAAGTCACCCCCACAAGAAACAAATTTGTGAGTCTAGAGTTCACCGAAACTAGGACCTATAAGTAGTCCTACATGCGACTGTAATTCAAGGCTCCAACACAAGGGTAGTGTGGCAAAGCTCCCTCCAAGCATAATTTAGGAACCTTTGAGCAACAAGGAAAATAGTTATACATCTGTCCATCATGTTCAAGTGAAAATAAATTTATGACCCTAGCGTATAACACCAAGGTACCATGTATATAATCAATCAAGGGGGTTTTAACTTTCAACTAATGTTTTTTATAATTGCATTTGGCATGGATGATAGTTTAGTGATTCAATCATTTGGGTATAAAATTATATTTTATATAATAAAATACACAAAATATTTATTATATTTTATATAATAAAATATAAAATACATAAAATTATAGAAAAAATTAGATACATTTCTAGTATTATATATTCATCATATATTAAACAAAAATAAGTGGTATAATAGAATTTTTATTATTAATGAAAATGGCTAAAATGCAAAAGGAAAAAAAATAAAAAGAAACAGTGTGATGTGTCTCAAGCTAGCCCTGTGTTTTAAATGATAGTTTGTAAAACTCACCACACATTTGGTAATATTCTGATAGTGTAATGTGTTCCAAAGCATTGATCGATATTTGAAATATAAATATTTTTGTCAAAATATATTAAATCAATATTTATGAGTGTCTTGTAAAACATGAGATTTTGGTGTATTTCAAAATCTACAATATTTTGTATTTTAAAACTAAAATCAAGAAATCCAAAATATGTCCTAGCTTAAAAGAATACATATTTATTGCGATGCATTCCAAAACCAAACAAAATGAAAAGTTGGCATAGTATCAAACACTACCTAAATTGTTGATTGAGCCAATATTTTTATGTAATCACATTAGATGATAAATTGACTAGTTCAATCCCAAGCAGATCATCCATTCAAAAATTCCAGCTAAGAGGCAGGATTTCTTAAGCCTTAAACCAATCATCTTGCCACATCAAACATTGCCAAGTCATATGGAGAAGCTCACTAAAAGACAATGACCCAACAATGACCCATCTAACCAACTTTTTTCTACGATATTATGCTATATACATACTACTACTGGGGGCCCATACAATGCACAGGATGGGGCATCCCTCCTTGTTTCTCACCCCATAAGTCAAGACACGCTACTCTACCCCCACCCCGACCCTAGTGCTAGGGTGGGTTCGGGGCAAGGCACCCATTCCCCATCGAGTTGGGGAATCCCCAAATTTTTCCCATCTTGAGGCAACCATCTAAAAAAATATAATTTATGTATATTTACAAATAGGATTATGGGCATTTGGAGGTATTTTAGGAATTGGATTATGACAATTTGGGGTATTTTATAAATGAAATTATGGGATCTTAAGATTATAAGAATATAAGGAAAACTTAGAGATATTTTAAAAATCAATATTAAATCTACAGATATTTTAATAATTTACCATCGGGTTTGGGGAATTATATGCAAACCCCATCCCTAACTTGGGGCAAAAATGTTTTCCTTGTCCCCACCCCATCTCTACCCCATCATCGTTTAAGATTTGAGAAAACTTGCCATGTCCGGGGTGGGGTAGGGTAGGGACCCGATTTTACAGGAAAAATTTCCATCCATACAATTCTAATAATTTTCTATAACTAATTAACTAACAGTAAATTAAATAACAAAAAATTGCAATATTTTATGATAATTTCCAAAAAAATATTGAAATTGCTATTGATTAGTAGTAATGTATAGTAAATTGATTATTTATAATAACAATAAGTTAATGTAAATTATTTACTTTTTAAGTCTAAATTATTTACTATTAATCAATGTAAATGGAATTATAGTAAATTAATGTAATTATGGTAAATTACATTATTTTTAATTAAAAGTAAACCATTTGTTGTTAATTAATGTAAAACCAGGTATGATCGAAGTCAACCAAGTGGTCTAGATCGGTGTGGATAGACTTAATAATTTTCCTAAATTATTTAATAATTATTTATTGAAATAATAATAGATTGTTATTTAAATAATTATGAAACAATTTCTAATAGATTAATTTACTAATTTAACTTTCCTAAAATTTTTAATAATTATTTAGTTGAATAATAATAATGGATTATTATTTAAATAGTTTTGGAGAATATTTTTTTCATAGATTAATTTCTTAATTTTTTAATTACTTAATTAAAAAATAATTTTGGATTATTAGTTAAAGAAATTTCCTAAATTATTTGGTAATTGTTTAACTATAATTATTGACTGATTTTATAGAAATTAGTAAATTGTGCTAATTAGTAATATCTTTTATCAATAAATTATTAGTGTAAAAGTTAATGAAAGTTTATTAAATTACAATGATCAGTGTAAATTACACTAAACATTGAAATTTTGAACATTTATTAATAACCAAAAATTATTAAATACTGAATTATTTATTAATTTTTGGTAGATTATTAAATTATTTATATTTGTTAAATAATGGATTATTTTTGAAATAATTATTTCATAATTTTTGGTAGTATACCTTTTAGAAATTTTTAATAATTCTCATAACTAATGGGTTGTTAAACACTAATGAAATATGTCATGAATATATAGGAAACATCGAATTCCCCTCTCTTTGCTTCAAATCACGATTATAGATATAAATATTGTTTGATTTGGAAAACCAAATCTTAATAATTTATGGCCCTATTTTTATGGGAAAGTGGAGAGAAAGAATCCAATAGGAAGGGAGAGGAATGGAGAGAGAGAGAGAGAGCTAAGATGGCAGATTGGGAGAGAGAGAGGAATGTCAAGGAGAATGCAGGGTTAGGGTAATGGAGAAAGGAGAAGTAAGGTGACGTGGACCCGTCTTACAAAATATATAGATAGATAGATAATTGTATATATTGATTTTATATCTATGGTTATTTCCAAAAAAAAAAGACTATAGTTTATATGCATGGTGTTTTGTAGAATTTTCAGCTAGCGAGTTATAAATTTTAGGCTAAGTTTGGGAGTGCTTATTCAAATAAGCACTTATTTTGAGCCGGGGCCATACTAATAAGTACTTATTTGCATTTAAAAAATAAGCCCAAAATAAGTGATTATTCTGAAAATAAATGCTTATTTGAGAATCCCAAATTTTGGATTTACTTTTAAATGCTTATTCAATAAGTGCTTATTACCTTTCTTGTCTATCTTGGCACACCACATCATTTTTAAAATTACCTATATTACCCCTATTTAAAATAAATGTTTTTTCATCAATCGTTCATAAGTACTTATTTTTTAAATAAGCACAAAAATACCTATACTACCCCTCTTTAAAACAAATGCTTTTAGAATAAGCAATTGTTTTTAATAACTTATTTATTAAACACTTATTTTTCAAATAAACACTCCCAAACTTGGCCTTAACACAAGTCTCTATCCTGCCGAATCCAGAATAAAAGATCAGTTCTGGGTCACCAGCAGTTAATATGCGACATGTTTCGTGGCGGGAAATACGCATATCTCAACCGTCAATTTGAGAGCAGAAAGGCTTTGAATATACAACGGTCGGATCTCTCCTTTCTCTCGTACATGAGATATATACTCTTGGGATGGCAGTCCCTACGACTTTTTCCAAAATCTGAAAACTATATTTGACGAAAAGAAATTAGTTCAATTCTCTGTATGTTTTTTTTTTCCCCTTTTTTTATGTCTTTTTTCTTTAAAAAATCTTGGTCGAAATAGACAGGTGTTGGGCTTTAAATGAGATCCCCAGATGCCATATAGGTATTGTGGAACCCAGAGAGAGGGAGCAACATTCTTCAGTTACCAACAGCGGTGGAGTCACACAGAGACAGAGAGAAGATCAATCGTGCAATTACATTTATATATATATATATAAACTATTGCAGGAATTCTCGTGACGACTCAGCCCAATAAAACCAACCTCTCCTACCATCATTCTCGCATCTTGTCCTTCTTTATCTGCCTTTTCTGCATACTAAAAGCAAACTGATCATGTTTCCTAAATACCCATTTCTCTTCTCCTAAAGTTTGGTGATTAGACTTCTACAATTTTGTCTTCGAATATCTACATATCTCAGTCTTTCACTTATTTATTATTTTTTATCTGGGTTTTTCAAGTTTTGTATTATTTAAGACTCCGGTTCTCTTAAGATCTTCTGGTGTTTCAATTGCTACTCGATACCTTCTGTTGTTTGTGTCGGGATTCCATTTTCCTGGGATATGGACTCAGTGCTCTTTCTTTGAGCTTTATCAAATTGATTCCTTCATCTGGAGTAATTGTTTTGTAGCCTTGTAGAGTTGAAGTAGCAGTGAAGCTACTACTATAATGGATTGTTGTTGTGCGACCTTGAATCCCAATGCCCATCCCGTACAAGTTAGAAAAGGGCTTATTACGGATGGAAATAATGCTTTTTGGGGCGAGAGACTCAGGGGGAGTCTGAAGAACGGGGTAATGCGTACCAAGTTGGCGAAGAGTTTGAGAGCTGATAACGGAGGCGGAAAAATCAAAACTGGTGTTGCTTTCTCTGTTCTTACAGATGTCAATAACGACACTGTGGTAAGTAATGCAGTACATAGCTCATTTCCTTCTTCAATAAACTAATTAAATACGTGTTTATTTTGTTCATATTAATCACTATTACACAGAAAAATAGGCCACTTTCAAATTCTAGAATAGCTAAATCCTTCATTTTATATGCCCAAGTTGAAGAAAGAATTGGTATTAATTTTCATGAATCCTTTTTCTGGGTTGCAATTGTTTGTGATACTATATGATCAAATTGCCAAAAATAAAGTGATCAAATTAAAGGTTCCTTTCCACTCAGATTATCTTCTCTGAATATGCTCTCACCCTTTCATTTATGTTTTGTGTTCAGACTGAGACCATCCAAGCACCACTACTTGGGAGGCAGATAGCAGACCCAAAGAATGTCGCTTCAATCATATTGGGTGGAGGTGCTGGAACTCGCCTCTTTCCTTTGACCAGCAGAAGAGCAAAGCCCGCTGTAAGAAATTACTGCAAGATATTTCTGTCTCTGATAATATTTAGATCTCGTGGGCTTGGTTGCTTGAAAATGAGATGAGCGATCTGTGGCTCTGATTTTTGTTTAATTAATAGTAGTTTACAAGGGAATGCTTCTCTTGAATTACAGATTCTTCCAACATATGTAATTTCATATTCTAGATTATATTGATTTTTATGCAATTTTGAATTATTGAAACTTGGGATTTCCTTTTAAGATATTTGATGTTTCCTGTAGGTTCCTATTGGAGGTTGTTACAGGCTTATTGATGTTCCCACGAGCAATTGCATTAATAGTGGCTTAGACAAGATATTCATAATGACCCAGTTTAACTCTGCTTCTCTCAACCGGCACCTTGCTCGCACATATAATTTTGGAAATGGTGTGAATTTTGGAGATGGTTTTGTAGAGGTATGATTCATTGGAGTTCTCTATTCTTCAAACCAGAAAATCTAGTACCTGATGGCCATCTCACTTTAAATTTAAGATGTATTCAAGTCAAGCTTACAATGGTAATGCTTGGAGTCTTGGGCATTGTCAAAAGGAATCTATCTTTAAGGCTTGTACCTGGATGTGCTTATTACACTCAAAGTTATCTTTGAGAAACTGGGGTACATACTAATAGTTTATAAAGAATTTAAATTGTTTTAATCTATTTACTTTGTTCTTTAAAGTTCTAGTGCAAGATTTTAACTTAAAATTAAATTTTCACAAGCACAGGTTCTGGCGGCCACTCAAACACCAGAAACAGGAATGAGGTGGTTCCAAGGAACAGCTGATGCTGTGAGGCAATTCACATGGGTCTTTGAGGTGTGTTTTTGGAATTTTAAATTACTCCCGTGATATTTTCCCTGATAAATATTAGATAGGATTCAAGTTATTTTATTTAGTCATTAGATGCATGCTTGATGACTCTTGATTGATTCCTGTAGGATGCTAAGAACAAGCATATTGAAAATATATTGATCCTATCTGGTGATCATCTTTATCGGATGGACTACATGGACTTTGTTCAGGTCTCTATTGACTCCCAATAACCATAGAATTCTTTAATCAACTTTCTTGGCAAGTTTGCAAATTTGGTTACAAATTTGCTGTGTATTTGCAGAAGCATGTTGATACAAATGCTGATATTACAGTCTCATGTGTACCAATGGATGATAGGTATGTTAAGTGGACTTTCTTTCCTTATTATAGGTGCTTTGAGGCATTTCTCTCTTATAGTTGTTGGCATTTCACTCTTGTAGTCCATGTACGCAAGGATCTGTACAATGGGAATGAACAAAGAGTGTTTGGTTTGTGATCGTGTTATAAACAGAGTATCCTGTTCAAAATGTTGTCTTTAAGGAACTCCCTAAGTGCCTTGTGTATTGACAACCAAGAACACATGGTGCCTTTGGCTTCTCTGTACATCCTCCATGCTAGATTTGTTCTCAAATATTCAGGAATTTCTTCCAGCCCAAATGCACCAGAAGAAAGCAAAGGGCATTGTTTCCCCCACTACTTTTCCTTTCTTGTTTAAACCTTGTATATGGCAGTAATGGAAGAAATTTTCAATTGCCGCTGGGAGGCATCCTCTCCATCCAAATGAGCTTAAAGCTATTGCCCTAGTAAAGTGACAATGTAAAAATAGATGGCACTTGAGACTGATTAGTGGTTTTAAAGTGGGGTTGGATGGCCCGTTGATATCTCATCTTTAATATGAAGATGACACTCTCATTTTCCTTGACGCATCAGTTAGACAGGTTCTTAATCCATGGACTATTTTGAAGAGTTTTGAGCTATTAATTGGATTAAAGGTCAACCTATTGAAAAGTGTTATGATAGGTTGGGTGAGTTGGAGGATGATTTTCTGGAAGATTGTGCTGCCTTTTTTGATTTTGGAATTGGATAATTCCCTTTTACCTATTTGGGGCTGCCAATTGGGGTTAAGACATCAGCAACAACTACATGGCAACCCATTTTGGAAAGAATTGATAAAAAGTTGGCAGGCTAGAAGGGGAGATACTTGTCTTTTGGGAGAAGAATTATCATTGGTTAAAAGTGTGTTGTCTAATCTGTCCATATATTATTTATCCATCTTAAAAATTCCAGCTTCTATAGTAGATGGAACATAGAAACTTCGAAAAGACTTCCCTTGGGGTGGAGATGGGTGGGGAAAGAAAATTCATTTAGTTAACGGGGAAAGGTTTTAGACCCAAAGAACTTTTCAACAAAGCTTTGTTGGAAAATGGTTATGGAGGTTTGGTTTAGAGAAGGAGACGTAATCTCTTTGGAGGAAGGTTATTGTTGGTAAATATGGAGTGGTTATTGGTAAATATGGAGGATGGTTATTGTTAGTTCAGAAGGTTCAAGCGTCTTGCTATCCCAATAGTCTTCAATGCCTTCCTTGCTCATTAGTAACAAGGAAGTAGATGGCCTGCAAAGTTCAAGAGGGGAAGCAGTGGCAGCGAAGGAAATTCCCATGGGCAAGACAGACTTAGCTTTGGTAAGAAGCCTAGGTTTGGCAGATTGGATTGAAGAAAGGGAAGTTAGACCAGAAGAAAAAGATACTAGAAGGAACGACAATAAGGGGATCTCGTCCAAGATGGATGCGAGAAAGAAACTAGGGATGAATAGGGAATTGAAAAGACTCCAATGGGGATTGACAAACCAGAGGCTGGATACTCATTATGGTGTGGGAAGTAGAGCCAGTAAGGGAAAGAATGTAGTAGAGGAGTGATGAAGATTCTGAGCTGGAAAGTTAGGGGTTTGGGAGGAGAACTGAAAATAAGCCTAGTAAAGGAAACTCTTAAGAGGGAAAACTGGACATTGTCGTGCTCCAAGAAATGAAAAGAGAGATGGTGGACAGAAAATTATTAAAAGCTATTTGGGGTGGAAGGGGAAAGAAGTGGACAACCTTACCAGCAACAGGGACTGCAGGAGGAATCACAATTGCTTGGTAAGAAGAGTTAGTTTCAGGAATAGAAGTGGACGTAGGGGAATTTTCCATTTCTGTTTTATTCACAAACACCTCAGATGGTTTCTGCTGGATTTTAACAGGGGTTTATGGGCATAACTCTCCCTCCGAAAGAGCAAGATTATGGGAAGAACTAGACTCTATCCGCGAGTTTGAGGAATTTCCTTGGTGCATTGGGGGAGACTTCAACGTCACCAGATATAGTCATGAGAAGTCGAATGGTAAACAGATAACCAGAAACATTAGAGATTTTTCTAGTTTCATAGCAAGGCATCATCTGCGAGATATCCCTCTTTGCAATGGGAGATTTACTTGGTCAAACATGTAGGAGAATGCAGTGAGCTGTAGACTAGATAGATTTCTGATGACTGCAGACTGGGAGGAATACTTCCCAAACCTTCTACAGGGGATCAGACCCAGATGCACTTCAGATCATTGGCGGTTGTGTTATAATCTGAAATTTTAAGAAGATGGAAGTCCCCATTCAGGCTAGAGAAAGTTTGGACATTACATAAGGACTTTAAGTCTAATGTGGCTTCTTGGTGGGAGGAATGTAAAGTTGAAGGGTGGGCTGGGTTCCGTTTCTTACAGAAGTTGAAGTTTCTTAAGAGGAAGTTACAAAGTTGGGGAAAAGAGGAATTCAAAGCTTTCTTTGTGGAAAAAAGCAAACTGATCAAGGTTTTGGAAGAGCTAGATGAGGAGGAGCAAAACAGGACTTTGGACGATGATGGAGAAGAAAAGAGTGGAGGTGCGGAAAGACTGGGAGAAGGTAGTTAGGAGGGAAGAAGTGTATTGGAGGCAAAGATCTAGAATAAGATGGCTGAAGGAGGGATACAACAACACCATATTTTTTCATAGCCATGCAGCAGGAAGGAGAAGAAAAAACCATATTTCCAAGCTGGAAGTGGATCAGAGAGTGGTGGAGGATGAAGAGGAGATCGAGGAAAAGATTCTATCCTTCTTCAAGGATCTACAAGTAGACCTTTTTCATTGGCTAGCTGGGAAGGTGGACTTTTATCGGAGGATAAGAAGGTTTGGTTGGAAAGGGAGTTCGAGGAGGATGAAATCAAGGAGGTGGTTTTTAGTATGGATGGAGATAGGGCTCCAGGGCCAGACGGTTTTCCGTTGTGCTTCTACCAGCTCTGTTGGGATACCATAAAATCAGATTTGTTGGAAGTCTTCAAAGACTTCTTAAAGAAGTCCAGCACTTCAGCCATAATAAATAAAGGAAACAACTCAACTTTCAAAGCCCTAATCCCAAAAAAAAAGGTACTCTGGAAGTAAAAGATTTCAGGCCAATCAGTCTAGTGGGTAGCATCTACAAGATTGTAGCCAAAGTATAGGTAGACAAGTTAAGGGAAGTGTTGGGAGAGTTGATTTCCAGCAACCAGTTTGCCTTTATAAAAGGAAGGCAGATCATAGATAGCATATTAGTGGCCAATTAATGTGTAGAAGAAAGATTGAAGACAAAGTAGTAATTCCGGGGTGGTCGTAAAACTAGATTTGGAAAAAGCCTATGATAAAGTTGACTGGGACGGGATCCTAAACATCTTGGAGTTAAGAGGCTTTGGAAGAAGATGGGTGCAGTGGATGAAAGGGTGCTTTAGTACAGCTTGGTTCTTGGTACTAGTAAATGGAGAGCCCAAAGGTTACTTTCAGGCAAGCAGGGGCCTAATGCAAGGCTGCCCCTTATCCCCCCTCCTTTTCACTTTGGTTGTAGACATTATCAGCTACTTTACTGAGAAAGCAAAAGGTCTTAGGCTATTGAGAGGTTTTACAATTGGGAGGGAAGCCATTCACTTGGCTCATTTGCTATTTGCTAATGATATTATCCTATTCTTGGAGACGGATTTGGAAAACATCATCAATCTAAAAAAGGTAATTACTTGTTTTGAGATGGTGTCAGGCCTCCATGTAAATTATTCCAAGAGTAGCATTTTGGGAATAAATACAAGTAAAACTTGCTGCATAACTTTAAGGAGATTCTAGGGTGTAAAGTCGAGAGCTTCCCCATTTCTTATTTGGGGATGCCCCTTGGAGGGAATCCAAGAAGTCAAAGCTTCTGGGATCCAGTGGTGGAAAAGTGTGAAAAGAAATTAGCCACTTGGAAGGAAAGGGTACCTCTCAAAAGGGGGTAGACTTACTTTAATTAAAGCCTCTTTGGCTAATCTCCCAATGTACTTTCTCTCGATGTTTCAAATTCCTTCCAAGGTCAAAAATAGAATTGAAAAGGCACAACGGGATTTCTTTGGGAGTGGAGAAAAGAAGAACCACCTAGTCAGTTAGGACAAAGTGTGTAAATCAAGGGAAGCAGGGGGGACTTGGAATAGGTCGAATCAAGGAAAGAAATGTAGCTCTCTTGGGAAAATGGCTATGGCGCTTCCCTCTAGAAGCAGGTACTCTATGGGCTTCAGTTGTTAGCAGAAAATATGGAAAGCATGCCAACGGGTGGGATAGCAAGGTCCACTTGAATCGAGTGAAAGCCAACAATCTTTGGAAAGGTATCAGTTCTACCTATTCTTCTTTTATCCCTTTTATCAGATATAGAGTAGGGAATGGATCTAAAATTAATTTCTGGACTGATCTGTGGTGGGGAGAAAATACATTAGCTTCTTCTTTCCCTTGTTTGTTTAGCCTTTCCTAAAACCAAGCGGGTACCATAGCTTCTTGCCTTTCAGAATTTTCTCCTTCTTTAAGCTGGAATTTAAGTTTAAGAAGACCCTTAAGGGATGTAGAGATTGTTGAGTTAGCATATCTGACACATTCCTTAAGGGAGGTCTACATTTCCCCCTCAAAACAAGACACAAGAATCTGTAAACTCCTTCCTTCTGGGAAATTTTCAACCAATTCCTTTTTTAGGGCCTTGGTGTCAGAAGATTCAAATTCTGGGTTCCCGTTTCAGAAATTTTTGATTGGTCACGTCCCTCCCAAAGTTTCCTTCTTTGTTTGGGAAGTCTGTTTGGAGAGGATAAATACTTGTGATCTTTTACAAAAGAAAGCACTCTGGTAGATTGTGCATTTCCCCCCATGTCTATGTTCTTTGTCTTAACAATGGAGAGTCAACCGAGCACCTCTTTCTTCACTGTTCAGAAACTAGGAAAGTTTGGAACCGGGTCCTAAATCTGATCGGTTACAACTGGGTTTTTTCCTGAAAATATCGAAGACTTTTTGTGGCAATGGCAAGGAGAGGGCTAGTTCAAAGGGG